GATATATTCTTGAGTATAAGAAACTAATGAATGGATACCAGTGTGGCTTTAGAACAGGGAGATCAACAATGGATGCTCTAACTAGAGTATGTAATGATATGGAGAAAGCTTTAAAAATGAAGGACGTAATGATTATAGTATTTTTTGATATAGAAAAAGCACATGATTCACTGTGGAGAGAAGGATTACTTATAAAAATCAATCAGATGGGAATTAGTGGAAAGATGTATAATTGGATAGCATTTTTTTTTTGCTGGATAGAAAAATAAGAGTTAAGATTGGGAATGATTATTCAAAAGAGTTTAATGTGGAAAATGGGATACCCCAAGGTAGTGCAATTAGTACAATATTATTTAATATAATGATTAATGACATTTTTTCCGATACTGATAACAGTATAAAATCTGCATTATATGCAGATGATGGAGCCATATGGATGAGGGGAAAGAATGTAAAACATGTAGTAGGAAAAATTAAGAAGGCAATTAATAAAGTGGAAAAATGGTCTTATGAATGGGGCTTTAAATTATCAGCAAGCAAGTCTTGTTTTATGGTTGTTACAAATAAAAGAAATATCGATGCAGGAACAATAACATTATACGGACAACCTTTGGAAAGGGTCAAAGAATTTAAATACCTAGGATTATGGTTAGATAGCTCTTATACATGGAAAATACATATAGAAAACTTAGAAACTAAATGTAAGAAAGTTATAAATTTACTAAAGGCTGTGGCTGGAAATAACTGGGGTGCAGATAGANCAAAAGAGTTTAATGTGGAAAATGGGATACCCCAAGGTAGTGCAATTAGTACAATATTATTTAATATAATGATTAATAACATTTTTTTCCGATACTGATAAATGTATAAACTCTGCATTGTATGCAGATGATGGGGCCATATGGATGAGGGGAAAGAATGTAAAACATGTAGTTGGAAAAATTAAGAAGGCAATTAATAAAGTGGAAAAATGGTCTTAGGGATGGGGTTTTAAATTATCAGCAAGCAAGTCTTGTTTTATGGTTGTTACAAATAAAAGAAATATCGATACAGGAACAATAACATTATACGGACAGCCTTAGGAAAGGGTTAAAGAATTTAAATATTTAGGATTATGATTGGATAGTTCTTATACATGGAAAACACATATAGATAACTCAGAAACTAAATGTAAGAAAGTTATAAATTTACCAAAGGCTGTGCCTGGAAATAACTGGGGTGCAGATAGAGAGTCATTATTAAACATATATAGGGCTCTTATGAGATCAGTAATTGATTATGGCAGTTTTATATATGGAGCAGCAACTAAAACAACAMTACAAAAGATAGATAGACTACAGAGTAGGGCTATATGTATAGGAGTGGTGAAAACTGAGAACTTCTTGAACTAAAAATATCCTTCATCATGTACAATAAAGTACTTCTCTTTAAGATCTAACRAAGARCTGACAGGGCAGCAAAAATAAACAAAACACTGAGAGACTCAGTGGACCACGAGGAAACCAAACAGTAGGATGATGCCATACAATGAACCATCAGTGAATGAGGAAATGAGAACAGTATTTATACAGAGGAAGAGAGGAGATGAACAACAGCTGAGGAGAAGCCTGACTACAATGACTAACAGGTGAGCACGATTATCAGAGAGAATGACACTGAAACAGTCTGAGGAGAGATGAGAAGTAACGACACAAGGAGGAGACAGCAGACAGGACAAGACACAAATGCCTACAACTGCAAATTATAAAATCATGGAATTTGTTTTGTAATTCGGTTATTACTGCAAATAAATAAATATGTGAATCCTTAGAAGCACCAAAAATAATCAGTTTATTTGTTGTAAGAACAGAAACATCTTAATAACAGAGTTCTGACCTCTCTCTTCATCAAACAATGCATCTAATGCTGTGTCACCAGAAAATTGGACAGTGTACTGTTTTGGCATTGCAGTAACAAAGTAATTAGGATATTGGGCGGCACAAATAGTTGCCAGCACAGGGGGGAAATATTAACTCACAGCAGTTGTCACCTGTCAGCAAAAAAGGATCAGCTTAACAAATGCTGTTCAGAGAGCAATTTACTGTAGCTGTATTATTTGAATTTATTTTGATCTATTGTTTTGATCCCACTCCATGGGACTTTTATATATTTTTTGCTTTGATCATTTGTGAACTTTTTCAAATGATGTGAATTTACAAATTATTTCATTAAACAAGGTGATAGCAATGAAATTGGTTTAATTAGAAAAATAGTTCAACATGTATTTTCAGACTATAGTTAAAAGTAATTTACTACTTTTGAAGAACTGCTGATAGTTTATGTTTTGTGTGTGTTTGCACTTGTCGTGTTTTTATGTGTCTGTTAAYATTAGAGCTTGTAAATGGGATGTGTTTTGCAAATGTGGCACACATCCCCATGATACAGATACAGTAACCTTTGGGCAGGATATTGAGCCTTGGATGAATGCAAGAACAATACAACAAACTAGATGCTGCATAGCATCCACGTACCAGAACTCAGATATTCTGGTATTTATATGAGAAGTGACTTTGGAATGATCATTACAAAKAAGATATTTTGTTGATGGAAAGCACAACGAAACAAAAACCAAAACAGAACTGTTCTTGGTAGTCTATTTGATTAAAGTGATAATGAAACCAACCACATTCACATGCACAATGTCATAAAATCTCTCCCGGAAATTGTGCCGTAGATGCTTTATAAATACACAAATGATCCACAGAGCTATTTGAATAGAAGCTGTTTTGGGTGGAGTTATTGAACACGATTTATGGGGCTTTTGAACTTTGAGACAGTATAGGTCAGATAGGACAACATCTGTGCCAAATTTCATCAAGATTTGATCATGTTTATGGATGAACAGTAGCCTGGTTAAAACCAGACCCTTGTCCATCACTTTGCTTCGTACGAGGGTCTGGACTCTCGGCTATAGAGAAGCGATTCTTGCTGGAGGCGTGGCCTCTGCTGAAGTTTAAAACTACTGGATCGGTTGGCTGCGACATGTGTATGCCAGCTCCACTGTGAAGGAGGCTAAGCTAATGAGCTAAGTGGAAATTGCATGCGCTGTAAACAACCCTACTGAGAGGAGAGAAGTAACGAGCTGAACGAGACGACTGTAAATAAGAGCTGCTGCTTTGTCAGACAAATTTAATTTAATTTGGAAGCCTTATCAACACAGACTGGCTTCATTCATTTCCTCCACTGCCATAGGTAAACTAAATAGCAGACACTGTGCTTAAAATCGACGTTGTTCAAAACTCTGCCTTCTGTTTGCTGACTGGCCCGGATGAAAATTCTCCTGAAGAAATCCTTATCTGTGGGAAAAATCCCAGACGGAGCAGTGAAGGGAAACTAGAATTGAGCGGAACTGTGTAGGAAGGGAAGGGCCAGGCTAGATGAACATGTTTGAAAGAACAATTTTCAGTCATGTGTTTTGATTCTTTTGCCTACTGCTAGGTGGCAGTTGCATAGAAACACAATGATGTCATGAAGTGATAGCACTTCATCAGAGCTAAGCAACATCAACAACAAAATATTAAATCAGAAGTTCCTATGTTTGAAATTTGTTAGAAATATGATACAAGATTTTTTTTTATTTAATTCAAAATTTGAGAATAATATATTGTATGCATATTTTTGCATTCCCACAATGCACGTGTTTCACCCTTAATTCTCCCTGACTTTAAATCATTTTATTTTTGCTCATCTGTGCTGTCCAGCTGCTCCTCAGATAAAGGGTGGAGATTTGTTGTCTATCTAAATGCAGCTGTCACAGGTTGTCATGAATTAGTGAAAGATTTTTAACAAATCCACATTAGCAAAGCTAAAACTCTGAATACAAAGTAGTCAAGAGCTGGAACAAGCCCTACGGTAACCCAGAGAATAGCATGATATGGGCTAGGAAATATGAATGAAATGTTTTGGCAGATGGTATAGTTTTGTTTRTACAGCAGACTAAGAGCGTCAGTGCACAGTCCAGTCACTATGGAAAATGCTGCCATTTCATGTTTTATGAACACACTTTAATGCTGACGTCTTCTTGTAACATGGTTTTGAGTTCAGGTATTTTAAAATCAGCCAACAAACCAATGTTTTGTAAAAGGACAATTTCATTGCAAAAAAAAAAAAAAATAGAAAACTATTTTATTAAACTGTAAATATATTTTGTGAAGCCTTGTCAAGTATTAACCAGACAAAACCATAATAAGTAAGGTGTGTGCTTTATTGGGTTGTGTCAATTTCCTTTATATTTTAAACATCACTCCTGTCTGAAAAAACAAATCAGGGGTCATTAACCGGGGTTACGTACTGGTCTCAACCCAATTTTCCAACCATCCCTTTATCCCCTGCCTCCAGCATTTTGGATAAGCTGTAGGCTTTTCAGTAATCCCTCAGTGGTAAAAGGCAGATTTTAAATTTGAGACATAGTTCTGAATAGCTGGCCAAAATAGAGGGGAGCACTAAAGGGGTTACTGGGTGTGTTTTGTTAAAAGTATTGGATTTCTCATATCTTTGATCGGCATAAATCCCTTTATGACATGATTTTGGTTTTGTCACATCTATAAAGGTATTATATTTCTGCTAGCATTRCAACGTAAAGGTTGAACAAACAAGTTTTCACTTTCTAAGTCAGTTCATTATTATGTTGGTCTTTTATTGTATGCTTGAATTGAGAAGTCAGCTCTTTTAAAARTAGTCACTTTTTAAAAATTAAYATTGAACCTGTAACTTAAATCTTAGTCTTGAATTGCTTCAGTTTAGAGAAATTAACTCTGACCAAATCTGACAAGCATGTCTATTCTTAAAGGGGATTTCTACCATCGCAACAAAACTCTAATCTCAAAAGTTTTATATCCATTTATGAAAATCGGATTTTAAAGCCTTTACATTGTCATCAATTTCACATTAAGTGAATATACTGTATGTATATATTCAATTGATTTTGAAATAAAATAACACTGTCTTTTTATTTCTTACAGATGAATACCACACTCTACGGATCATGCTCTACTCTCTTATTTTCTTCCTGAGTGTATTTGGCAACCTACTGATCATTATCGTGCTCACGGTCAACAAGCGCATGCGCACCGTGACCAACACTTTCCTATTGTCACTCGCTGTCAGCGACCTGATGATGGCCATATTCTGCATGCCCTTCAACCTCATTCCCAGCATCCTAAAGGACTTCATCTTTGGAGCTCCTATGTGTAAGATAGTGGTCTACCTCATGGGTGAGTCAAAACAGACAATGGGATGTGGAACATATTCATAATTTTATATAAGAATGAACAACCGTTGTTGTCTGCACGAGGCACAACACTGAGCTTTGTCATTGGCAAATATTGGTTTAAATTATTTTTCAGAAAAAAAYAACACGTGCATCAACATGAGCTACAAATTTGACCCTGTACTCTCTGTTTCAGAGCAGAATGATTTTCTGTAGAATAGACATTGAAAAGTAATTTACGATTAATCTCACTGAAATTCAAACACATCAGCCATTCCTACATGTCTTGAGATGAGGACTTGCAGAGATTCAAAGTGGAGGTCAATTGCTTGCTGGCAGAGKTTAGAAGTGTGTCAACCAGGAAATTTTTGATGGGCCGGCATGCTAGGAGTAATTTTCAAGACAAAAGTGTCCAGTTCTAGATTTTGGCAATGAAGTACAAAAACTGTAGAGAGTTCAGATTTTTTGTTTCTACATTATACATTATTAATTTGAGTAGTATTCCAGCAAATAACACAGCAGCTTGTATTCAGGATTTGACAGTTGAATATTGATGTTCTCTTACGGTATATTACAGCAAGTATTGTTAACGAGCAACAGTTGTGAGGAATGGATTAAGAGGAGCTTTTGCAGTCTTTTTGGTCTTTCAAATAATGCCATCACAATGCAAAGGAACAAATCAGCAAATACATTTTCTTTTGTTTGCTGTGCTACTTTCTCATAATGATGGCATAAATACTGTAGATCCATTTATTTTATTTTTTTACTCTATAGAACAATGAAATCAGTAAATGTCTCCTGACATACAGTGGCTGAACAGCACTGCCTAATCAGCTGCAACACATGGACACAAATGTCACAGATAAAAATAGTTTATTTTTTTATTTTTGTTACCTTGCAACAGCAGCTCTATTTGTTTGGAATCACAAAGAACTTGTTGAGCTTCCTATCATACAGCTCAGTGGTAATAGCATAAAAATATACTAATTCTATTGGCCACTCTTGGTCTAATTGCTTGTTGAAACATGCAAAAATGCAATAGCAATATACTGTATTATTGCAAATAAGTATAGAAAAGACAAAAAAAACATGACAGCACTACAGAAAACCAATGAGTATCTAGGTGCTCATTTGGATGTGTGAACTATGTAACCTGTATGTGCTATTTTACAAAGTAAACAAAAGATAGGGGAGAAGAGCTTAAAGGGATCATATCATGCTTTTAAATMCTTCTTTTTCACGTCTAAATCATTCACTTATGGTCTATTTAAAATAAAACTGCAACACTTTGGTCTTAATTCCTCGTTTTTGTTGCTCCACAGACTCCTTGCTTTCCTTGCTTTTACCCCTGTTCTGAGTTGCGCCTCAGAGCAAGCTGTTTTGGTGCGGTCTCTGTATGAGAGATATTTCACAAGTGAGATATTTCACACCCCGCCCCCTCCAGGTCGCTGAGTGTTCGACTCCACCCCGTTCGGCCACATTTGTAGTTTCATAGCAAAAACACAGTTATCTACTGACTAAAAACTGTTTTTAAGATAAAATAAGATAAGATAAAACTTTATTGATCCCACAGTCTGGAAATTTGCACATTACTGCAGCTTAATACAAGAGAGGCTGAGAAGAATAATGAAAGATTAATAAAAGATAACAAACAAAACCCCACAATATACACAGGTGATACTGTATATAATAATGTACCAATGCACATATACACATATACATAAACACATATGCTTATTTATATACATATATACACCATAAAGTACAGTACAAAAATGAATGTATATGAAGGTGCATTTTAGTGATG